CGGGAGGAGGGGAAGAAGGGAGGAGGCAAGAAGGGAAGGGAGGAGGGGAGACGGGGAGGGAGGAGTGAGGTAGGGAGGACGGGAGTAAGGGAGGAGGAGAGGAGTGGAGGGAGAAAGAAAAATAGGAAGGAAGGAGGGAAGGAGCGAGATTAGTACAAGTCACCTTTGGCCTCTGCAATCCCAAGAGGTGCTCAAAGCGGTGGTCAGTACCTCGCCGAAATTTATGAGTACAGTGAACTGCCGCCCCCTTGGTCACTGAGATTGCTGCAGGTGCATTTTCAGTTTCTTCTGTATGGGCCGGCAGTGAGGTGGGTTTTCTACATGGGGTAGCAGCATCTGTTGAAAAAACATCATACTATTTTTCTTTTCCTGAAGCGTGTATACATTTTTTTGGCAGACTCTGTAAGTATGAGTATATGTATTAAATTATACTTTTTTTTTAAGTTTTTTGAGACAGGGTCTCACTATGTAGTTGAGACTGACCTGGAACTCACTATGGAGCCCAGGCTGTTCTCGAATTCAGCGATCCTCCTGCCTCAGCCTCCTGAATGCTGAGATTACAGGCGTGCACCTCCATGCCCGGCTTAATTTATACATTTTATTTTTTTTAATTGAATTTATTGGTACTCTATAGGTAGACAGTACACTTACATTCGTTACTGGGATCTTGTACTTTATATGCCAGGTCTTGGTTCTCATTAATTTATACATTTTAAATAGGTGCAGTTTATTGTACTTCAGTTATACTTCAGATCAGTTAGAAAAAAGAAAAAAGGTTAATGCTTCATCAGTATAACTGCTTATGGAAACATTTTTAGCCCTGTGTCTATTAAGATATTGAAGAGAAAAATCAATACATACTCCGAAGATCCAATTACATCTTGTTATATCACCCCACACAAAATATGCACAGAATGAATAAATTTTTAAAGCAAAAATAAACCTTGAGTAATACCTGAAAGAGCATATTTTAATGCATTCTTTTGGTAACACTAGATTCTACCTTTTACTTTTCTTACCCTTTAAAACAAAGACTCTGCTACAATTTTAAGTACTGTAGTCAGTTTTATAAGATTTAATAATATTAAGATTAGCTGAATAACCATATAAGGAAATGAAATTTTCCGTTCTTCAGATAGTACTTGTCCAAGATTTTCAGGAGGTCTTTGCTTTCCAAAGTCTTGACAGAAGTCAAAACTAAAAGAGAAATGGCTCAAGCAAGATTAAAAAAAAAATCAGCAAAGAAGTTGATCATTGTAATTTATCCCCACTGCTTTAAGTTTGATACCAGGAACCGAACTCAGGACTTTGCGCTTGTAAGGCAAGCGCGGTGCCACTGAACTACATCCCTGGCCCTGCTCTTGACTTGTTTGAAGTAGATAATCACAGTCTTTTTAAAAACTAAATTTTTTCACAGTTAGACTTCAAATTACATAAAAATGAGCAAACGATAGCGTAAAGCATGTACTAATTCTAACCTGAGACACTTAGAAGCTGTAATTGTCAGTTCTTCTCAAACAGAATCTTAAAGAACAAAGTTCTGCACATATAATACATTCCCACACACTCACCAATCTGAGGATTCCTAGCTGAAAAGAATGATAACTACCTTTCAGGAAATTTGCATATAAAGTCACTCAAGTGGAGCATGGGTGGTCCATGCCTGTAACCCTAGCCTTTTGGGGAGCTGAGGCAGAGGAATCAAATTCAATCCCTGCCTGGGCAACTTACTGACTTAGTAATACTTTATCTTGAAATAAAGTGAAAACTTAAAAGGGCTGGAATCTTTTTTTTTTAAACAACGTCTTACTATGTAGCCCAGGCTGGCTTCAATTCTTCTGCCTGAGGCTCCTGAGTGCTAGGATCACAGGTGTGTGCTACCATGCCTGACCATAAAAAATGATTTTTATTAAAAGAAATTAATAGCAAAGGGAACACAATCATTTTTTCTAAAAAAGTATATAATTTATTATTATTATAAAATGATCGATGACTTAATCATGTAATAACTCACTACTAAACAAAGCACGTTCAAACATTTTTGGTGTAAATCTATCTATTCCATGTTGGACAAATAAAGCTACATATAAGTGTGTCAAGATATTTATTTACTTATTCTTTTCTTTGATACCAGGGATCAAACTTGGGTCCTTGCACCTGGGAGGCAAGTGGCAAAACCACTGAGCTAAATCCTCAGCCCTGTCAAGATATTTTTTGAAACTCCAAAGTATAGTAAATTCATAATTTACCTTTGTTAGAAATAAAACTCGAGTATAACAACTTTTTAATTTTTTAAGCACAGGTCTCACACTGAAAGCTCTCTGCTTTAATAATTTTTTTCCTGTTACCCTTATTACAAAATGACATTGCTTAATATATTCAGGGCTTTTACTCACTGTCTTTAAAAACTTAAAGTAGCCAGGTGTGGTAGCTCACTCCTGTAATCCCAGTGCTTGGGAGGCTGAGGCAGGCGGATCGCAGTGAGTTCGAGGTCAGCCTAAACTGCACACCAAGACACCATGTAAAAAAAAAACAAAAAAAAAAAAAAAA